TTGGGCGACTCCTCCTTCCGTTCCGGACGTGTTGGCTGCACGCCGACAGGCCCCCCGGCGATCCGCAAGCGAACGCGCGTCTGTCCGAACCATCTTCGCGAGCGTTTCGGTGATCGACGCCGGGTTCGGCGAGGTGGTGGCGACCATCGACGTTATGCACTTCGGGTTCGACGCCAACTCGCGTCCCCACCACACGGCGGTGGATGCCGACGGCGCCACGGTACGTTCGCAGCGGGGGCACGTCCCCCGGTCGCTCACCCGGGAACGAGCTGGTCGGCCGCGCGCCCTTCGAGACGCCGGGGCTGCTGGCCATCGACCCGTCGTCCGGGATGCTGTACGTGGGCCGCTCGATGATGGCGGTGAACCCCCCGCAGCGCATCGGCGTGATCGATCCGGAGAACATGGGCATCGAGGAGCTGGATGTCTTCTTTGCGCGCCCCCACGCACTGGCCGTCGACCCGGCAACGGAGCGCGTCTTCGCGTCTTCGCTGGTCGAGAACCGCTTCGCGATCCTGAGCGAGGCCTCCGGCCAACTCGACCTCGTGGATGTCGACGGTCCCCCGCACACCTTCGTGCAGTTCGCGCTGTCGCCCGACCGCCGCCACCTCGTCGCGACGGCGCAGCTGACCGGGAAGCTCCTGGTCTTCAACGCTGCCGACCCCGCGGCCGGGCTCGTGGCCGAGGTGGACGTGGGCACGCAGCCGTGGCACCCCGTCTTCTCGCCCGACGGCGACCGGGTGTACTTCGGCGCCAAGGACGACGACGCGGTGATCGTGGTCGAGACCGATGGGTGGACCGTCGTGCAGCGGATCACCGCACCCGGCATCGCGGAACCGCACGGCAGCGCGGTCACCGCCGACGGCCGCTACCTGTTCGTGTCGAACCGCAACCTGAAGGGCACCTACACACCCACCCGCGAGGTCGAAAACAACGCCGACGTGGGCACCGTGGTGAAGATCGACACGCAGACCTTCGAGGTCGTGCAGACGATCGAAGTGGGCGCATATCCGGCCGGCATTTCCATCGGTCCGGCCGGGTAGCTCCGTGTCGTCCCGGCGCATCGCGGCGGTCCCCGGCATCCTCCTGCTCTTTGCAGGCGGCGCGGCCGCGCAGTCTTCCCAGTGGGAACGCATCGTGTACGGCATCGAGATGCGGGACGAAGCCGGCGACCTCCTCGACCACCCCTTCCTGGGCGGCTTCAACCTGCCGCGCCCGCAGCTCGCCGATGTCGACGCCGACGGCGACCTGGACCTGTTCCTGCAGGAGCACTCCGACCGGGTCATGCTCTTCCGCAACGAAGGTGCCGGCGCGAGCAGATACCGCTGGGTCACCGACACCTTCGAGGACCTCTCGGTGGGCGAATGGTACCGGTTCGTGGACGTGGACCTGGACGGCGACCTCGACCTGCTGGCCGAGGAGCCCTACAGCTACATCCGCTACTACCGCAACGACGGCGGTTCGGGGCCCGCCGACTACGTGCTCGCGACCGACACGCTCCGCGACATCGCGGGCGAGCCCATCTTCTCGGACCGCCAGAACATCCCCAACGCGGCCGACATCGACTGCGACGGCAACCTGGACCTGCTCATCGGCCGCCTCACCGGGACGATCACCCGCTACGAGGCAGAGAGCAACGACGAGAACGGGATACCGCGCTTCCGCCACATCACCGATTCCTTCGAGGACATCGAGATCGGTGGCCAGCCCTTCCAGGCAGCGCACGGGCTACACCATGGCGCTGGTGAGACGTCCGACAGGACGCGACGCACGACCTCGTCTGGCGACTTCTCTTCTTCGAAGCCGGCCTCCTCTTCATCGAGAACACGGGGACGTGCCGCCGCCCGGTGCTGCGCGGCACCCCGCGGCCCTTCCCCCCCCGCGACCCGGTCGCCACCTCGGGGTACAACGCCGCCGCCCTGGGAGACATCGACGTGGACGGCGACCTGGACCTCACCATGGGCGTGCTCGGCGGCGCGTTTCTACCGTCCCGCTCCGCGGTCGAGAACCTCTACCAGTTCGTACAGGGCGACGACGGCGAGTACACGGCCGTGACCTCCCGCCTGATCCGCACCGTGGACGTGGGCAGCGAATCCATCCCCGCCCTGACCGACCTGGACGGAGACGGCGACCTCGACCATCCAATCCTCATCAGACACGACGACTCGAGCCAAATGGAGGACAGCACCAAGATCGCGGCGCGCTCTACATCTTCGAGAACACCGGGTCCGCGACCGCTCCCGCCTTCCACGCGCGCGGCAAGGTCCCGGACCTTCCCATCGCCTACCACTTCGCACCCGCATTCGGCGATCTGGACGGCGACGGCGACGACGACATGCTGCTGGGCGAGTGGCGCGACCGGATGGCGTACTACCGCAATGACGGACGGCGCAGGTCGGGGCGCGACAAGCTCATCCCGCGCTGGACGCTGGTCGATTCCGCCGCCGCCACCCTGACCCGGGGCCGTACACACACCGCACGCCGCTGGTGAGCGGGACGCGACAGGCGACCTGGACCTCATCGTCGGCGAGTCGTCGGGTGCACTCAACTACTAATACCGAACGACTGGCGCGCTCCAGCGCCCGGACTCCCTCTCGTCTCGACTCGAGTTTCAGGACATTGACGTCGGCCGCCGCAGCGTCCCCACCCTGGTTGATCTGGATGGGACTGTATCCATCGATCTGGCGTCTGGGGTCGAATCTCGGGTCTGCGGCTGTTCCTCAACGAGGGGACGCGACGGGAGCCGGTTTTCGTCGAAACCGAGCCGTTCGGGCCCGAGGTCCCCGCGTTCACCACCCCGGTGTTCGCGGACATTGACGGGGACGGCGACCACGACCTGGTGACGGGAGGAAACGGGGGCCGGCTCGTCGTCTACCTTGGAACGGAGGGGGGTGTTCGGTGAATCTGGACGATATTCAGGCCGTCATCGAGAGCGCCAAGGTGCGCGACGACGGAAAGCTGGAAGAGTTCATCCGGCGCATGTCGCCGTCTTCGAGCGACGAAGAGGTCGAGGATGCGGCCAAGGTTGCCGTGGAGGTGGTCGAGATGGTGCCGATCGTGCTGGCTTGCGCGGCCCAGGCCGCCGAGCAGCGACGGCTGACGATGGTGGTCATGCCCGTTCTGGACCACGCCGCGCGCTACTTCGTCAACCCGGTTGACCTGATTCCCGAGATGACCCAGGGGATGGCCGGGCTTCTGGACGACACCTACCTGGCCTTCCGGATCCTCGAGAATCTGAACCGCGGGGCCGAACCGCTCATGGACACCGACTTCGGCGTGCCGCTACGCTTCCTGCGGAGGCTGGTGGGCCCGGAGATCAGCCGGAAGCTGGACGCCGCGTCCATCTTCGCGCTCCAGGATGTCTCCACCCAGGTGAACCGGACATGGGCCCAGACAGAGCACCAGTCGTGATGGCGGAAACGATGCGCCTCCGATTGGCGTAGGCAAAGGGAAAACGGGGTTTGCCCCGGGAAAGGAACGACAAATGATAATCGAGTCGATCGTAGCGGGAACCGTGGGGCTGTTTGGACATGTGAAGACCAAGGACTTCGTGCGCCGGAAGCTGCGGTACACGAAGATCGCGGAGAAGTCGGCGAGCGGGATGGGGCTGGCCGCGGGTGCGGCCACGGCCATCGTCGCCGCACCCGTAGTGGGCATGCTGCCGGTGGTAGGCACGGCTACAGCGATCATCATCGGGTTGGGCGTCGGATCAGGTGTAGGGTTCGGGATCAAACAGGCACGTGAGAAGTAGCAGGCCCCCGTGAGCCACGACAAGCGGACAGTCCGGGCGTGGGTGCTCTACGACTTCGCGAATTCCATATACCCCGCGGTCGTCACGACGGCGGTGTTCCCGATCTTCTACGTCAACCGCGTCGTCGGCGACGAGGGGGAGATGGGTACACTCTGGTGGGGATGGGCGGTGTCGCTCTCCGCACTGGTCGTCGCGTTCTCTTCCCCGCTCCTGGGCGCGGTCGCCGATCGGAGCGGCGTCCGCAAGAGGTTCTTCGGGCTCTACGTGGCCAAGTGCCTGGTCGCCGTAGCACTGATGTCCACCCTCAAACCGGGCATGGTGCTGGCGGGGTTCCTGTTCTTCGTCGTCGCCAACATCGGATTCGAGAGCGCCAACGTCTTCTACAAACGCGTACTTACCGGACATCACGACGCCTGATCGGTTCGGGCGCGTCTCGGGCCACGGCTTCGCGGCGGGCTACCTGGGATCGGCCATCGGCCTCCTCCTTGTGCTGCCCCTGGCGCGCGAGCGCACCGAGCTGGTCTGGCCGATCGTTGTCGGATTCTTTCTGCTCTTCTCGATCCCGGCGTTCCGCGCCCTGCCGCGTGACATTCCCGGGCAGATGCGCGTCGGCCAGGCCGCGCAGTGGGGACTCGCCAACCTGAAGACGATCGCCGCCGAGGTCTGGGGCATCCCGGAACTCCGCAAGTTTCTCTTCGCCTTCTTCTTCTACATCGACGGGGTGCTGACCATCATCGCGATGGCCGGGGTGATCGCGGTCGGCACCTTCGGATTTACGACCGAGGGCGTCATCGTCCTCTTCCTCATTGTGCAGTTCTCGGCCCTCGGCGGCGCGCTGGCCATGGCGAAGCCGACGGACACGGTGGGGCCGAAAAAGGTGCTTACCGGGGTCCTGCTCATGTGGGTGGCCGCGGGCATCACCGCCTATTTCATTCAGAGCCAGACGGCGTTCTACGTGCTGGCGGTCTTCGCGGGCATCGGTCTCGGCTCGGTGCAGTCGGCCAGCCGGGCGTTCATGGCGTCGCTGATTCCTGATGGCAGGGAGGCCGAGATGTTCGGCTTCTACGCGCTGTGCGGCAAAGTCGTCGTCGGTACTGGGGCCCCTGCTCTTCGGGTTGGTCACCGTCCTTGCGGGCGGTAACCAGCGCCCCGGTTTCCTGGTGCTCACCGCACTCTTCCTGATCGGCCTCGTGCTGTTGCAGCGGGTGAAAGACCCCAAGGCGCGTGGCGCGGCAGGGATGGCGGCGTGACCATGGACGCCGCCGACCGGCGCGCCGCCGTGCGGGACCGCTACGCGAACGTGGCGATGACCGGGTCAAGCTGCTGCGGCCCGTCGGATTGCGGGACCGCGTCCCCGGGGGCTGACGAGGCCGCCGCCGAGGAAATCAGCTGCGCGGTAGGCTACGACGAGAGCGATCTGAGCCGCGTCCCGGAGGGGTCCAACCTGGGGCTGGGGTGCGGGAATCCGGTGGCGCTGGCGTCGCTCGGCACGGGCGAGACGGTGGTCGACCTGGGTGCGGGCGCCGGGTTCGACTGTTTCCTGGCGGCGGAGCGGGTGGGGCCGGAGGGGCGCGTCATCGGTGTCGACATGACGCCGGAGATGGTGGAGCGGGCCCGCGCCAACGCGACAAAGGGCGGCTTCGCCAACGTGGAGTTTCGCCTTGGCGAGATCGAGGCGCTGCCGGTGCCCGATGGCATCGTGGATGTCGTGATCTCCAACTGCGTGCTCAACCTCTCGGGCGACCGCCCGCGCGTGCTGGCCGAGGCCATGCGCGTGCTCAAGCCCGGTGGCCGGATGATGATCTCGGATCTGTTGTCGGACCTGGCGGTGCCGGACTTCATCGCGGCCTCGAAGGAGTCGCTGGTGGGGTGCCTGCCCGTGCAGGTGGCCGAGTACGAGGCCGATCTGGTCGCCGCGGGGTTCGTGGAGGTGAGCGTGGAAACCGGGCGGCGCTACCCGTCGGAGCACATTCTGGCCGACCCGCGCGTGCAGGCGGTCATGCAGCGCGAACCGTGGCGGGAGGGGGAGGTGCGGGACTTCGTGGAGTCGATCCACGGAGGGGCCATCGCGGCCGTGAAACGCCGTTTACACCGGAACTGAAAAGGAAACCACCAGTGCGACAATCAGCATTCCTTGCGGCCGCCGCCGCCACGCTTCTCAGCGCCTGCGCCTCCGGGGGATCTGCCCCCGCCGACATCCGTTCAGGTACGATGTCCCGTCGCCCCCCACGGCCACGTACCAGATGGCCGACACCACAACCTCGATCATGAGCATGCCCAACGGGGAAATGGATATGGCCATGGCATCCTCCAGCACGATTGAGCTGACCTTTGCGGCGGATTCCGGCGGCGTGCGCGCTACCGGCACGGTGTCGGACTACTCGGCAACGATGTCCAGTTCCATGATGGGCAACATGGAGACGGGTGGGGACGGCGTGTCGGGCGACCTTGAGTTTGTGATCGGGCCGCTGGGCCATGTGGAGATGATATCGATGCCCGAGGTTGCCGGGGGTGCCCTCCCGGGGGCGACCCCCTTCCAGTTCAACGCAATCGAACTGTTCCCCCGCTTTCCCGGCCACCCGCTGGAAGCCGGGGACACGTGGGCCGACACGATAAGCGCCTCGGCCGACTTGGACTCGGTCGGTGGAATGGCTGGGACCGCAGAAAGCTCCACGGTCTACACCTACACGCTGGTCGGGGACACGCTGGTTGCCGGCCGGACGCTCCAGAAGATCACGGTGAGCGGCATCGGGACGACGCAATCCTCGGGAGAGGAGGCCGGCGAGCCGGTCTCGCAGGACATGACCAACACCCTTGAAGGTTTCGTTCTCTGGGACGCCGACCGCGGACTCGTTGCCGTCGCGGAATTGGTGCGCACCGTAGACGGATCGGTGTCCATGCAGGGTATGGCGATGGCCATGACCTCGGCTGGGCCGGTGAGGCTGCGGCTGGTCAACTGACAGAGGGGGGTCCGAATGAGCGGCCCCTCCGAGAAGAATCGCGTGCTAAAAGGGAGTTATGTAAAGATGAATCTCGTGGACCACATCAAGACGCTGTCTACGGTTGCCTTTCTGGGCCTCGCCATCGCCTGTATCCGGCCGGCGAGCGCACTCGCACAGAGCTACGGAGGGGCGGTTGCGGTAACCGGTGGGGAGGTGGTGGTCGGGCATCCGGGCTGTGGGGGAGTGACCGGGGGCTGCGTCTACCTCTATTCGAAAGACGGCGGAGAATGGCTGGAGTCGGGAACCATCATGAGCCCGGATGCGACCGTCGGTGACGGTTTCGGGTCCAGCCTGGCCGCTCTCGGAGGGACGCCTGCTGGTGGCTGCGACGAATTCGGGTGACGGAGGACCCGGAGCGATTTACGTCTTCTCCAGAACGGCAGATGGCTGGACCCCGGACGGCATGATCGTTCCGGAAGGCCTCCCCGACGGAGCGCAGTTGGGCAACGTGGTCTTCCACGGGAATCTGGCCGCGGTGGCCGTCTCGATACGTCCGGCGCCGCCCGCGCTACCGACCGACGGCGTCGTTCTCGTCTTCCGCGATACCGGCGACGGGTGGGTGCAGGAAGCCCTGCTGGAGTCTTCCTCCAACCGACGGACGCTTTTCGGGCGCGCGCTGGCTCTGGGTGACGAGATGCTGGTGGTGGGAGCGTCGCGTGCCGGAGCGCTTGCGGGTGCGGCCTACATCTATGAGCCCGGCCCGGATGGCTGGAGCGTGACCGGCGAACTGCCCAATGCGGACGGACCGGCTTCGTTCTTCGGTGCTGCCCTGCTTGTGGCGGGTGACCGCATACTTGTCTCGGCCGGCAACCCTACGACACAGCCCGGTCGAGTCGTCGCATTCGAGCGTGACGGAGATGGGTGGACCGAGAGCGGCCGCGTGCAGGCGTCCGATGGCGCTCCACAGGACCGGTTCGGTGCACACCCTGACCACGGACGGCACCACGGTTTGGGCGGGCGCTCCGGGTGCGGACGAAAAAAGGGGCGCCATCTATGAGATTCCCCTGGACGATTCCGGCTGGGGCTCGGTCCAAAAGGTGGGCGAGCGCCCCGCGAGCGGATCGGAGATCGGCAGCATACTCGCCTACGACGACGGGGTGCTCGTCGCCGGCAACCCCGGCGCTGACAACGGCCTGGGGACGGCGCTCATTCTGGACGGTGGCCCGGGCAACTGGTCCGAGGGGTTCACCGTCTTCAAGGACGTGGAAGGAATCGCTCCGGTGCTGGGTGGCCAGGTCGACTGCGCCGAGGGCGAAGCCACCGCCTTCGGATGCAATGCGGTGGATCTCGTGGCCTACATGCCGGTTTCGGAGCTGGGCGGCGCCCGCGGCGTGCGCGTCAACGATATCTGGGGCTGGACCGACCCGGAAACCAATCGCGACTACGCCATCGTGGGACGCAGCGACGGGGCTGGGGTCGTGGACGTCACCGACCCGCCCAACCCGGTGCTCGTCGGGAACCTTCCCAAGACCGAAGCGGCACCGAGTTCGAGCTGGCGGGACATGAAGGTCTACAAGGACCACGTCTTCGTGGTCTCCGACAACGCCCCCGAACACGGCATGCAGGTCTTCGATCTGACGAGACTGAGGGAGTACGACGGGGAGCCGCTCACCCTGACCCATGACGCGCTCTACGACCAGGTCAGCAGCGTGCACAACATCGTGATCAACGAGGAAACCGGCTTCGCCTACGCGGTGGGTGCCAGTGGCGGCGGGGATTCCTGCGGTGGCGGTCTTCACATGATCGACATCCGCGACCCGAAGAATCCGACCTTCGCGGGCTGCTTCGCCGATGTCAGCACGGGCAGGTCCGGCACGGGGTACTCCCACGACGCCCAGTGCGTGGTCTACAGCGGACCCGATACGGAATACCACGGAAAGGAGATCTGTTTCGGTTCCAACGAGACCGCGCTGAGCATCGCCGACGTCACCGACAAGGAGAACCCCATCGCGCTCTCGGTGGCGGAGTACCCCAACATCGGCTACACGCACCAGGGATGGCTGACCGAAGACCAGGCCTGGTTCTACATGAACGACGAGCTGGACGAGACCGGCGGTCAGGTTTCGAACACGCGCACCCTGATCTTCGACGTCGCGGACCTCGACGACCCGCAGCTCGTCAAGGAGCACTTCTCCGAGAACACGTCAGCGATCACAATCTGTATATCGTGGGTGACCTGATGTACCAGTCGAACTACAACACGGCTCTGCGCGTGTTCGACATCGCGGACCGGGAGAACCCGCGCCCGGTCGGCTTCTTCGACACCGTCCCGGGTGAGGATTTCCCGTCGATGAACGGGTCGTGGAGCAACTACCCGTCTTCAAGTCGGGGATCGTCGTGGTGACGTCGGGGGCGAGGGATTCTTCGTGGTGAGGTACCGTAACAGGATTCCTATATCGTGAAGAGGTAGGACGGGCGCGCACCAGATTTTGGTGCGTAGAGGGCGGTAGCTGGGACTGTATGCAAGTCGCGCAACGTTTTTTGTTGCGCGCACGCCGAGTCACCGGTACATTTCCCGCATGAGCCAGCCCGCCGTCACCACCGTGCAGACCCCCGATCGACGCACCGCCAGGGCCAGAGTCATCTGAAGATGATCCGTGCCGGAGTGCGCTCCGACCGGGCCGTCGCGGCCGTCCTGGGGGTCTCGCATTCTCAGGTGTCACGCTGGCGGCAGGGACAGCGTCCCGACCGGGAGAATGCCGACCGCCTTGCCGGACTGGCCCTGGTCGTCGAGATGCTGCTCCGGTGGCTGGACGCCGACATCGTCGAGGAATGGCTCACCGGAGCGAACGCCCACCTCGATGGCGCCACGCCGTCGTATTTTATCCAGCGAAGTCAGCTGGCCGAGGTGGTGGGGGCGGTGGAAGCGATGAAGACCGGTGTTTTCGCCTGAGCGGTCCACGGTGAGCCGCTCCCGGCCCGTGGGATTCGTCTCTGCGCTCGGTCCTCGCCGCGATTCATCCACGGACTGCCGCTGATCTTGGCTCTCTTCTGGCGCGTATTCCCCTGGGATCCGGACTTCGACGAGGGAAGCCCGTTCTCACCGTCGTACATCCCGCCGACTACGGGTCGCGGGCGCTTCGACCTGCCCGTGGCCTGTTCTCCCGTGCTCTATGTCGCCGAGTCACCGGAACACGCGATTGCGGAAGCCATTCAGCCTTGGCGCAACCGCCCCTTGCGGACCCCCCATCTCCTGCGAGCCGGACGTCCCCTGGCGCTGGTCGGCGTGGAGGTGGCGCCCGACAAGGCGTCGGATCTCGCCGACCTCTGTGATCCGGGCGTGCTCGGCCGACTGCGGGTGAAACCGGATCGGGTCGCCTCCCGGCATCGGCGGCGGACTCAGCCGGTCGCGGCGTCGGTGTGGGACAGCGGCCACGCGGGTCTGCGGTGGTGGTCCGGCTTCCGTGGCGATTGGCACGGTGTCGTCCTCTTCACGGCCCGCACGAAGCGGAGCCTGCGCTTCGGAAGGCCCGAGGTGTTGTCCGCCGAGACCCCGGCGCTGCATGAGGCCCGCCGCGGCCTCGGAATGCCGCTGGCGATCTGAGGCGGGGCACTGCGATGGCCCTTGGAGCAATCCCGCGAGCACCGGGAACGGCGAGGCGCCGTGTTCCCGCGGTCGTCCCCTCGGCGCTACCCTCCCGCGCTCCTCCTCGGCGGTCGGCACCGCGGCATGTCCCAGGCTGACCAGTCCGCTCGTTGACCGGAGCACCCGCTGGGTCACGTCCAGCCGCTCGGGTCCTCCGACGCCGCGTAAACCAGCATCGCCGCGAGCGTCGCGTTGTGCGCAGGTCGTCAAAGACAATCTTGTCGAAGGTGTCGCGGTTGTGTGCGGTGTACTGGCGGTAGTCCGGGTAGTTGGACTGGAGACGGAACCACCCCGGGGCAGGCTTGCAGATGAAGGACATGTGATCCGAGCCGCCGGCCTCGGGGACGCCGGGAATGTCCAGCTCGATGTGCCCGGTGATCTCGGGCGGCATGATCTCGAACCAGCGGGCAAAGTGCTCGCCTGCGCCCAGGAACCCCTGCATGCGGATGAAGTCGATCCGCCAGGTGCCGTTGTCCTGGTTGAAGGCTGCCTGCAGGCCGTCCACGACCTCGG